TTTGAGGTCTCTCTATGCTTGAGAGTGATGCTGATGATCCCGTGTGAAGCTGGCTGGTCCATGGGCATACATATCAGGACGGAATCTACAATGTTTCTCTGTCTCCTGTGAGAATACAGGCATTTCCTCTGCCCAATTTAAGAGTGATGCTGGACCATTCCAAACACCTGTTCATTCCAAACATCAAGCTACACGGGCTAAAGATCCCTCAGTGGGTAGATTCTTGTGCCTAATGTAACATTGCTGGTGGCAAATTAGAATTAGGCGCAGGATTCAGAAAGTTTAGAACATATGCAGCAAAATTTAAATACATTTGAGGAGAGTTCTAATCTTGTATTCCTTTCTTTTGTTTAGCTAGCTGATTTTTAAAATTTAAGATGAGTGCACTCAATTATTGCCTGACCTTGGGGACTATAGGAGAACCCTGTAACATGCTTTATATTCCAGTTATCAAGAAAACTCTGAAAATGCCTGCTAATATAAGCAGGACCATTATCAGTTTTTATTTTCTGTGGCACTTCTAATATAGCAAATGCTGACACACAATGCTATATGACATGTTAACTTCATTTGCCTTGAATGACAGGTGGCATCAAACATATGTGAGAAGATATCCATAGTGACTAGAATATATAAAGTTTGTTAAAAGAGGCTATATGGGTAATATCCATTTGCCATAACTGATTGGTCCTAAGACCTCAAGGATTGCAGCCCTGTTGAAGAACAGGCCTTGGAATGAGCTGGCAGAAAGGACATGACATCACTGTCTGTCTGGCTTGAGTTCTGGTAATTTTAAATTCCTTTATCAGGACTCTAGAATTTTGATGAAAAAACTCATGGGACTGTTTTGCTTTGTCAAAAATGGAAATCAGGTTGACAAGAGCATCGGCTTTATGATTTCCCATTGATAAGGGACCTGGGAGATTAGAATAGGCTCTAGTATGATCAATAAAGAATGGAGCAATTCTGTTAAATATAGCTTTCTGTAGTTTTAAAAATAGTTGTAATAAAGTAGGTGCAATGGTGGAGTAAAAAAAGTGGCTTCAATCTTTTGGGTCAGATATACTGCAGAAGACAAGTCACTTAATATATCGAGGCTGGTCTCTGAATTGTTCTAAAACATATAGGAGAGCCTTAATTTCTGAGTGCTGTGCTAAATCCCCCTTTGTAGAAAAGTAGTGCTGGAAGGAGCAGCTCCAGATAGCTACTTTCCCCTTAAAAGGACCATCTGCAAAGTAAGTAGGAGCCCCTGTCAATGGCTTGAAATGATGACCTTCGGAAGAATAATAGAAGTGCAAAGGAAGCATTGTAAAAGACGTAGGGTAGTGATTATCTATTGAACCAAGCAAATGCTACCTGCCAGAATAGGGCAGTATGGAGTAAAGTCTGTCTCTGTTGAGCATCTAGTGGTACTACAATGACATCCAGATCATGTCCAAAGAGCCGACATGCTCTATTTCTTTCCATAATCACTATTTTTGCTACTTGTTCTACATATAACTGGATAATTTTTATTAGTTGATTTGGCAAGAATAGCCATTCCATATGAGAAAGAATCTTATTAATCCATTGTCTTAACATTCCCGTAAGAGGATGAGGCATCTGTAACATGAATACATACAGAGGTTCAGTGATATCAACTCTTACAACATTGTCTAGAATGAAGACATTTTTTAACTAATTTCATTTCTTGTCTGGTCACTTCTGTGAGTTGCTGGGGAGAATTTAAATCCTTATCACCTTGAAGAATATTATACAGATTTTTTTTTTTTGTCTTTTTCATTTTTATCGGTACCGGGGATCGAACTCACAACCACCTGCTTGCAAGACAGGTGCTTATGCTGCTGAGCTAAACCCCCAGCCCCTATTATACAGATTTTGTAATTGATAGATTGCTACACTTAATTTCGGTCTAAGCCAATTAATATCTCCTAACAGTTTTTGGAAGTCATTTAAAGTTTGTAGATTACCTATCCTTATCTGAATCTTTTGTGGTTTGAATAAACCACAAAACAGTAGAGCCCTCTCAGAAACAGTAGAGCCCAAATAACTGTAAGGACTTATCACTTGTACTTTTTCAGGTGCTAGTCAAAGGCCAAAAGCAAGTAAATTTCTCTTCACTTCTTCAAGTAGCATCCATCAGTAACTTAGATTTAGAGGATACAGAAAGCAAGATGTCATCCATATAGTAGATAATACAAGCCTGAGAGAATTGAGTTCTCCATCTTTTCAAAGCTTGTACTACAAATGACTGGCAGAATGTGGCACTATTTGCCATTCCCTGTGGAAGCCCAGTCCATTGAAAATGTTTGGCTGGCTTGTGAAAATTAATGCTAGGTACTGAAAATGCAAAAAAAAAAAAAAAAAAAAGTCAATCCTGAGAGTGGGATAATAAAAAAGCAATCTTTAAAATCAGTAACAACCATAGGCCAGTGCCATGGGATTATAGCAACACTGGGTAGATCAGGTTGTAACGCCCTTATTGGCAGCATGCAAGCATTTACAGCTCTCAAGTCTTGTATTAATCTCCACTTACCTGATCATTTTGGAATTACAAGCACAGGAGAATTCCATGGACTAAAAGAAGGCTCAAGATGACCTAACTGTAGCTGCTCTTCTACTAATGTCCATAAGATCTTTAACTTCTCCTGAGTTAGGGGCCATTGAGGAACCCATTTCAGCTTTGCAGTTTTCCACTGAACTAGCAGTGCAGAAATGGGAAGAGGAGTGCCAATGGTTCCCACTATAATTTGACTCATATCTCATTCTAGATCTACCTTGTTTTATTATTAAAGGCTCAACTGGAAGAGTACAACTCTGTAAGTTTTTGCTCAAACTTCTGTTTTCTTGACACTCCATCTTAGCCTTCCTCTTGTTAGCAGGTGATATGTTCTTCTGAAGGGCAAAAATAATCAGGACAGTGCCCCACTCTTCCATAAGGTCACTCCCCATAAATTGATGGGAATGGATGCAATAAAGGGTGTTATAATGCCTGTCTGCCCATCAGGGCCAATATATGGAAGTGATATAGCTCTCTGTGATACAGATTGAGGGGAGCCTAAGCCTTTCAGGGCTGTGGAGACAGGTCTAGTTGGCCCAGCAGATAGCCAGGTTCCTTGCAGGAGGTATTTAATGTCATCCCTTGTACTCATCCCAGCAGAGGAACTGTTGTTTGTTTGGTTTGTACCAGATACAATTGGTCCAACTGTGCATGGGATTGCAGGGCACTGTGTAAAAGTGTACCCTGAGTTTATGCCTGCCCCCAGCGAAGGGCTGGTTCTCCATTTCCCTGGAGCAAGGTTGTGCAATCCTTATGAAATCTAGACCTGGAATCTTTTGCCTAGTGAAAACCTTTCATGCAACATGGGCACAGATTACATGGTAAATTTGAGCCTGGTCTAGTACTAGTATGCATAGCTGTGGGAGGTAGTACCTTTGTAGGCTCTGAGCAGAGTCGGCAAATGTGTCCCTCACTGCCACAATTAAAACATTTGATCATATCAGCCTTATAGGCTACCCATTGGGATATAGCCTGTGCCTTGAGTGCAGAAGTGTAAGTGGTAGATCCAATATTTTGACATGCTTGTATGTTAAGTAGATACGTCTTCAGTATGAAGCACTGAGGTTAAAACCCATTTACACTCCTCATTGGCATTCTCATATGCTAATGGACAAAGAAGTATTTTAGCTGTATTGTCATGAGAAATTTGTCTATTTATAGCCTCTTACAATCCAGCTACAAATTGGGTGTAAGTTTCTGTAGGACCTTGGAATATCTGGGTAAATGACTTATTGGGTACCATCTTCTGGGAGAGAAAGCCACGCTCAGCGTAGTTCTTTGCACTGTGTGATGAGAAGGGCCAGGGAACATGCTTAAACCTTTAAATCAGCATATCTGCCCGTGCCAGATAACATTTCCTGAGTAGTAGCTTGTAAGTTTTTATCCTCACTATCTTGATTATTCTGAACTTGTTCTGAAATGAGTATCTTTAAAAGTGATTCAAAATGTAGGAATTGTGCCAATAATAGGCATGTGCGAGCAAGATGGGTTACATTACCTGGCACCAATTGGAAGCCTTGAATTACGCTATCTAAGCAACCAAGAGTATATGGACTCAGAACTCCATTACCAAGCACACTCTGCCTCAATTTTTTCAAGAGTAAAAGGTTAAAAACTGTGGGTGTATTGCATTTATAAGCTGGATCTTCCAGATCTATCTCTTCTATGATTGGCAAGCATAATGTTTGTAAACACAGTCTCATGTCAATATACTTTGGCTTCCTTGCTAAGAGGGGAAGGAGCAGGATCCTTTCTGATATGAGTTCTTGGTATGGGGTACTGTAGGAAACATAGCAGCAGAAGCGTTAATTTCCAAATGAGGTGCAGAGAACAAATCTGAGTGTGTGGGTAAACTGAAAAAGTTTTGGATGTCATTACGAATTTCTTGTAAAAGGGAATATATTTGATTATCTATATTTCTTAAACATGCTTCACTTTTCTCTAGCAACCCATTGGGAGTCTTATTATCATGGTGATGTGGCTTTTTCATTATGCTTACATCAGGGCTCTTTTCCATTTTATTTGCCTCATTGATAATCATTTGTCAGCACAGGTAGAGTGTACTGCAATAATAACTGGCTGTTGGTCTGCTTTATTTTCTAGGTAGCTATTGTTTTGGGGTAGATTTTTTTTTATCTTGGATTGCAGCTACATAAAAACTCTCACCTATTTTATCTCAAACTCTCTATCATATAGAGTGTCTTGGGAAAGGAAAGATAACATGTAGGTATCTGATGGAGTAATCTAAAAACATGTTTTGATGGGACTTTTCAATACCTGCATCATTTAATAGCTTTATAATCAATTGGCTAAATTCTTTCTCTTCAGCAGATAAAGAACACGACTGTCCCATAGTTACCTTTAACAAACAGCCTCCCATAACTGATTTCTATTTTCTAATTGCATCTGAGCTATATAATTAGTAAAATGCTCCACTTACCTTTAATTTGGTCATGCAAGGTCTGGTGGATTGTCAGCACCTTGATAGTGGTTGTTGTGGCTTGAAGTCATGAGTTCCGGTCATGCTGGGCACCAAATATTGGGAACCTGGCCAACAGACCCAATTGTCAATATTGAAAACCCGGCCAAGAATCCTGATTGTCCATCTCAAGAATGTCCAAGAAAAATAAAAAACAGAGACAAGAATCCTGTTCCAACAATGGCTGGGAGGTCAATGCCTCTAGATCCACCCACCTTCACTCCCAAAACAGCCACTATTTATTTAGTCTACACAGTAATAGGCGGGGCTAGCAAAGGATTACATTTCATCCAAAGACTCTAACTCCAGAAGGCATAGATAATCTTATGTTTGAAGTATCTTGACTCAAATATAATCCTGTGGTGATTTAAAACCATGTAGACCATCTTATGGCTAGAAGTATCTTGTCCTTGAATATAACCCTGAGATTATTAAAAAGGAATAGATGACCTTCTGCTTGGAAGTCAGTGGGAAATCCCAGATGGGTGGTATCAACAATCCCAATCCGTCCTTTCATCCCACAGGGAAATACACAAAACCAGTCATTGTGAATTTGTGGTCACCAACACTTCCATATTGAAAGGTTTTTGCCTTATTAGAAATTATAGCGGTGGTCTAAGTGGCAGAAAGCCAAAGCAGGAACGCCTACCACTTCCTGCTTCTTCCTCAGCCTTAATTTGCAACTCCCCTTCCTGTTTGCGCACACAGAGAATTCCAATCAGATCCTGGCGTGTCATCAATGCCCACCCTAAGCACCCCTCCGGTCAGAGGTTTTGTATATATATTCCATGCCCCACATTCCAGCAGAGAAAGCCAGGCCACTGGCAGTCATGGAGTTCTTTCCACGTCCTTGGAATAAGGGCTATATTTTTACTTTATATTCTCTCTTTCATCGCGCCAAATCTTTCACATGTTTTTTTTCAAGGATTCTACAGAATCTTCTGAGGACCATAATCAATGTTTGTGAACTCATACCTGAAATAAATGCCTGTATGATTAAACAATCTTCTGGATTGTTGTCTCTGGGTCATTTGATTAAACTGTCAGCAATTACTCTAATATTTGAAAATGGCAGTTTTTCAATTGTCTTTGTACCACAAAATGTCCCATCAGTGTTCCACATTAGCAGGGAAAAAGAGGAGACTCAGCAAATAGTGAGGCATCAATGGCAAGGCCTTGTCAGTTGTACAACCCTGCTAACTAGATCAGAAAAATCACACTTATCAATTATTATGGTTAAATAATAAATTAAGGTAATCATAAAACAGAACACTATGCAGTCTTTAAAAGCACCAACCTTATAACCCATCAATTGAAGATGAAATTAAATACAAGATTCTAATTTTAGAGTCAGCATCTCCCGAGATCCAGCCATGTTAGAACTTAGGGCACTGAGCAAGAAAGCAACCCGCCAGCATTCCTGGTAAGCAGCCATGGCACAAACGAGCTGCAGGCGAGCCAGGAAGAGAACCAGTCAACATCTCCCATGAGCCTACTGATGCACGGCCTAAGAATCAAACTCCCATCCCCCACCACCCCGTTAGCAACTGGGAGCCAGAGGTCTGAGCATCTCTTGGGAGGATGACCATATGCAATATAGCAAATATGGGAGATTTCCTTCTATCATCTCTTTGAAGACAAATATTGTTTTCACTGTTTTGCTTTGTTCTGATTAATTGTTTTGCTCTATTCAATAGTCTGTTTTGATAGGTTTTATAATGTTCTGTTTTTGGTTTGATTTTATTATACCTGGTTTAATAGACAACGATTGTGAAGATAATGAGATACACTATGGTACCTATTACTGATATCCCGGTATCCTGCTCTGAAGTTCTGTACCAATTTCACTGCATTGTCTCAATTGGCATTGTTCTGGTTTTTTCTGTTGTATTTTACTACCTATAAAATAAAAAGATTCTAATTTTATATATGTACATTTGTATGTGTCCATGCATATGTATGTATGAATTCAGGTCTTAAGCAATGTGTACAAAACACTGTGGTTATCTAACAGCAGATGGTGAGCTATCCAAACTTTGTATAAGAGTATATTCCTTTTATTAATCATGATGTAAAAGTATGTCAATAAAAGAAATAAAGGATTTTTTAAAAATTAGTAATTAAGACTATATTTTTTCATAATATATAACAAAGATCAACAATTTTTTACTCTACAGTCAGATAATAAATATTCTAGGGTTCATAGGCCACAGAGTGTTTGTCCCAATGATTGCCATTGTAACAAAAAAGCCACAAACAACACCTAAGCAAATAAGGATATTATGATACAACAAAACTTTATCTATAGAAATTGAAATCTGAATTTATACAAATTTCCCAAAATATTATTTGGATTTTTCAACCACTTAAAAATGTAAAAACCATTTAGCTCATAATATGAAAAACAATCCCCAAGTCAAATGTTATCCACTGGCTAGTTTAGAACATAGACAAAATATTTTAGAACAATAGAACACAGACAAGATTTTCTAAGACTGAACAATGTCCAGTAACAGTATTATTAACTGCTTACTAAGGCTAATTTTAATCTCCATAATGCATTCACAAAGTATCTAAGACTGAAATTTCTTGTGAAGCTTTTTGATAAATTGGTTGTACAATAGGCCTCATAATAAAGGAGTGGACTTTGCGAATTGAACTGATAATATTAGCCAATTAAATGTGACGAGATTCTGTGTCAAAATTCTGAGTTTTGAAAAAATTTACATTACATACTCCACTTGACTCCGAGATGAGAGGGCAAACTGTTGACTAAAATGATTTCTACTTTATGTCAATAGAAATTACACAAATAAAATTTCAGAATAAATTTAGAAAATTTAAAACTAATCTCATTACAAATTAGCTACGAAGCAATAGCTTTTTAATCACCTGGTTCAGGTGAGGTGAACCTGTAGCACACATTTAATTTGTTATTTTAAGATAACAAATAATAACAAATAATAATATATAGATAACAAACAATAACAAATAATAATAAGATAACAAACAATAACAAATAATAACTTTAAGATAAAAAGTTTATGTGTAAGTTGTTTTCCTAAACTAAAATCTCGGTATTCAGGTTTAATTACAGTGTTGGCATTTTGCAATAAGTAAGTTGGTTTTGGGTGTCAGTCTGGGCATTCTAGTAAAAGATTAATCTTCCCTGCCCTAATTTTTAAACCAAATCCTACTGCATCCTGATGGAGTAGAGATTTCTCTTAAAAACACAGTTTTCCACATAGAAAAGTCATTTTCTAAAAAGTCTAAAGAGAAAGTTGGGTTTCAATGGATGAGCTCAGAGATTTGTTTCTAAAACCTTTAAGGTAAGGAAATTAATGCCTACTGTTACCATGGTAACTGAGTTGCTTAATTGCTTAAAGGCTAACCTGAAAAAAGTATTCTAATCTTCTTTAAGAGAAAAAAAAAAAAACATTGTTAAGTTAAATGGCACATAAAAATAGCCATTTCAAGCCCAGGACAGAATTATTCTTAAATAATTTAGAATGTTTAACTAATAGATAGTTATAAGTACAAATTTTCAACTCCTTAAAATGGTTCAATTCTCTTTTGTTCCAAATACTCTATGTAAAAAATCTGATGAAGACACTATTTTATAAATACTTACAGTACTTACAGTACTGACTTCTTAATCAAAAGTATAAGAATGTTCCAAATCACTACTCTAAAATTTGCTAACAAAGTATCATAAGAGTAGTTACAATACTTACACTATAATTTCAATTTCTCACTCCAGGCATCTATACAAATTTCTGAAGTATCAGCTGAGTTTCATGATTCTCTGAGAAAGGAAACTGTATCACCATCATTTTGCAACAAAGAAAAACTAACAAAAAAGGAAGCTGACTTTGCAAAAGTTAGTAGATCACTTTAGTGTTTGTACTATAGAGAAGCAGGGGAGTAGACTGAAAACAAATTTAGACTTGGAGTCAGAACACCTAGGTCTCAAAGCTGCTTTACGTCAAGAAAACTTACCCAAAGTTTAAAAGGAACACAAGAAAAGGCAGTAAGTCTGTTCTATGTAATATAACTCCAAAGAGTATTTTCTTAGAGAATATACTTTTAACTGGCTAGCTGTTTATTCATTATTTAAATATTCATATTCTATAATATTACCTGTTGATTTATAAATTTTGGTCTAGCAAAGATGCAACTGAATTCTGCCTAACAGAACAGAGTCACCTTCTCTAATGGACATAGTTAAAACCAAAAATCTCAAAGGCTATAGTTTTTATAGCCCTATAGGATAGCTTTATATCTAACCTCAAAATCTCATTCTCAACTTTTAGTAGGCCTGGTGGCACAAGCCTGTAGTCTCAGCACTCAGGAGGCTAAGGCAAAAAGACCATTATGAGTTCAAGCCCAGCGTAGGCTACATAATGAATTCAAAGCCAGCCTGAACTACAAAGCAAGACTCTATCTCAAATATAAAAAATATACATAAACTTGTTTCTCCAACATTTATATATTCTTTGTGCTGCTCTGGACCACTTTATCATGCTGCTCATTAATAAACTCAAAACACGTGACAAGTATTCATTCTAAACTTGTATAAGACTCTGTTGTGAAATTTTTTGAAAAGTGATACCTTGACATTTGTTTTCTTAGTGTCCATATAAGCTTGGATTTTCTAAATTTTAATAAGCTAAATAAGCTGCTTTCCTAAATTTTAATTTTCTCATCTGAAAAAATGTGATTGTATTACTATTATTACTTGGCCTATATTATTACATATTATATTACTTGCCTTATTGGCCTCAGTATAAATGTGAATACAGTGATAAACACAATGTCACACTTTTTTAAACTGTAGCTATATATGTTAGAATACTGACAAGAGTAGTGGTAGATCTTTTACTACTGTACTTCATTTGGATACTTTAGGAAGGCTCTTCAATCTGTAAGTACAGATAGAGATACTAAATCCATACGAATTAGACAAAGTATGTAAAGTCATCAACGGCTAAATAAGCACTGAATTGTTTCATAGGTAAAATGTTCTTCTAAACGATAAATTCAAACAGGGAAAAGAAAATTGATTCATTTATCTAATACCAAAGTATCTAATACTTAATTCTTACTCATGAGCCTGACTCAAAGAGTACTGAATTTCAACACACATCTATTTATTTCCCTTTAACTATATTTCATAAACTGTATTTGGGAGGTTTCCAATTAAATATAAATAACAAGAGTAACATTCATGTTCCCATCCAACTTTTCATGTGTCTAGGAAAGAATGTAGAAACAATTTCAATGACTGGTAAAGTTTCAAGACTGGATTAATGAACATTTTCAAATAATCTAACACAGAAACCTTGTAAAACCAAAGCAACTTCAATGCTTCACAACTCAGTTTGGTTATTAATCAATTACCCAATTTTGGTTAAAACAGCTGGATTTCATCAACAAAAGATATTATTTTTACTAAAAGGCAACTTCTAGTCAAAAAAGTCTTTCAAACTTTATCAGCAATGCAATAAACTCTAAAAATTCTGGACATCATTTCATTTAATAAATTATATATTCCAAATAATGTGACCAGGCATATTAATACACAACACTTATATACAGAAGCTATCATTTATTTTAAAAGATATAATTTACAAAGTGTTCTGTAATTTTTTGAAAATTTCTTTCTTATTTTTCTATAAACAAGCAGAAGTAAGAAAGGATAAAAGAAAACAGACAAGAACCAAAGAATCCATGACAAAGTGTAGGGAGCCGCGCGACAGCCCCATTGCTGCCTCCCTGCCTCTCTCTCTCCTATGGGCACAATGCATCTGCCTACATTAACCATAATCCTCTCCTGCTTACGTCACATACCTGGATGTGACGATGACCTTGTTGTATTCATCCCCATAGCCTCTTCCTGTACCATCAGCCCGCCCTTGGCCTGTAAAAGATGAAATCACTTCCGGAATAAACAGGGCTTGATTGGACTCTCTCAACTTGCCTCAGTCTCTCTCTATCCCCCATGTCTTTATTTAATCCCCATTCCCCCTCCAGGTACACCTCACAGATTGATCCGAGGGCCGGATCAAGTGGCGCCCAATGTGGGGCTCCTGGCACAAGGGAGTCAACAAGGGAGCCGTTTGAGAAAGCCGGCTAAAAGTGAAACCAAATTGAACCAAAGACCGCGGTGAAAGGAAAAACAAACTAAATCGAAGACTAAG